GGCATACACCATTCCCCTTTTACTCTTCATGGTTTAGTGTTTCCTAACAACAATGATTTTTCTCTTACATAACCACAATACAGTTATCAAATTCAGGACATTTAATATTGGTATAACACCTCCCAAGGGCACTTCCCTGGTGGCTCAGCAGTTAAAAAAAAAAAAAATCTGCCTGCAAGGCAGGAGACGGGAGTTAGATCCCCTGGTACGATCCCCTGGAAGAGGGCATGGCAACCCACTCCGGTCTTCTTGCCCGGAGAGTCCCACGGACAGGGGAACCTGTCAGGCTACAGTCCATAGGGTAACAGAGAATCAGATGCAAGTGAAGTGACTTCACAGGCATGCACACCTCCCAAGTCCATTTTCCAAAGTTGCCAGTTGTCTTCGTGTCCCACAGCTTTTTCCTGTCCAGTACTGAGTCCAACCCAACCCACTCCAGTACTCTTGCCTGGAGAATCCCATGGAGGGAGGATCCTGATATTCTACAGTCCAAGGGGTCTCAAAGAGTCAGACATGACTGAGCGACTTCACCTTCTTTCACTTTCTTATCAGGTCTTTTTAGCCTCCTTTAGTCTATAACATTTCCTCAGCCGTTCCTTATCTTTCATGACATTGTCATTACTGAAGAATGTAGGCCAATTGTTTTATAGAAGGTCTCTCAATGTGGGTTTGTCAGATGTCTCCTAATGATTAAATTCAGGTAATACCTCACCAACCAGAACTTTAGACAAGTGTTGTATCCTTTCAAGGGTGTCATATAATCCTAAAGGAAATCAGTCCTGACTATTCATTGGAAGAACTGATGCTGAAGCCGAAACTCCGATACTTTGGACACCTGATGCGACTCATTGGAACTCAACTGACTCATTGGAGAAGACCCTGATGCTGGGAAAGATTGAAGGTAGGATGAGAAGGGGATGACAGAGGATGAGATGGTTGGATGGCATCACCGACTCTGGACATGAGTTTGAGCAAGCTCCGGGAGTTGGTAATGGACAGGGAAGTCTGGAGTACTACGGTCTATGGGGACACAAAGATTCGGACATGACGGAATGACTGACCTGAACTGAATTGATGTGGAGGCATGTGATATCTGACAAGTCTTATTGGTAATGTCTGTATGGGCCACCTAGTCAATGCTGTATCTGTTTTCTCCATTGATTAGGTCCTGGTTTTCCTCTTGTTTATGAGGAAGCTATGGGAAACACTCTAAGACCGTGCCAATCTCACATTTCTCAGCAAATTTTCCTCCTTAGGTTCAGCATCAATTGATGGTATTTGCAAAATCAATCTTTATTATGATTGCTGTAAACTGTCATTTTCCAAACCCACCTCTTCTTTCATATTTATCAACTGACATCATAACATAAGGAAGAGCCCTCCCACCTCCCCCATTTCCTTGTTTTTTACTTATTGTCCATATGGAGTCATTGATTCCAATTTTACTCAGTGGATTATAGTCTAATACTATCTAATTTTTATTGGGGTAAAATATATGTAGCATAAAATTTACCACCTTAACTATTTTTAAGTGTACCTTTCATTGACATCCTTGTTTTGTGTAACCATTACCACCACCCATCTCCAGAACTTTTTCATCTTCCCAAAGTGAAACTCAGTGCCCATTAAACACCTGCTTTGTCCTTATCGTGGAGAGACAAAGACGCAGAAGAGTTAACATAATATTGAAGAACTTAAAGAACTGAAAGTATCTGACATTAAGACTCACTATAAAGCTACAGTAATCAAGACAGACTAATGTGAGTGAAAGAATGGACAAGTAGATCAATGGAACAGAATATGGGGCCCAGAATTAGATCCACGGAAACTTCATCAACTTTTCTTTGACAAAGGAGCAAATTCAGTACAATGGAGAAAAGAAGTCTTTTGGACAAATGGTTCTGGGACAATGGACATTCATATGCAAAAAGTGAACCTAATTACAGACTGTACTCCTTCACATAAATGAACTCAAAGTGGATCATAGGCCTAAGAATAAAACACAAAACTTAAAGCTCTTAGAAGATAACAGAGGAGAAAATTAGGCAACCCCGGGAATGGTGATTAACTTTTTAGATACATCACAAAAGCATGACCCAAATGTCTTGGTCCATTTAGGCTGCTATAACAAAATACCACAGACTGGCTAGCTTGAAAACAGCAGAAATTTATTTCTCCCACTGCTGGAGGTTAAAAGTCCAAGGTTATTGTGTTGACATTGTTTGGTGAGAGCCCTCTTCCAGATTTCAGACTTCTCCTATCCTCACATGGTAGAAAGGGCTGAGAAATCTCCCTGAAGCCTCTTTTATGAGGCTGTAGTCCCATTCTTGAGGGATTTAAGAACCTCTTAAAGCACACCCCCCAATACTATCATCTTTAGGGGTTAGGATTTCTTTTTTTTTAATTCTTTTTTATTTAATGTTTTAATTTTCTTTTTTTTGGGCCACACCACACAGCGTATGGGATCTTAGTTCCTCAACTAGGGATCGAACTTGAGCCCCCTGCAGTGGAAGTACTGGAAGTCTTAACCACTGGACCACCAGGGAAGTCCTAGGATTTCAACATATACATTTTGGAGGGACCCAAACCTTCAGCCCTTAGCACCATGAAAGGAACAATTGATAAACTGAACTTCATTAAAATTAAAAACTTCTGATCTGTGAAAGACTTGTTCAAGGAAGTGAGAAAATGAGCCAGAGACTGGGAGAAAATATTTGCAAAAGGCATATCAAAAATATACAAAGAATGCTTAAAACTCAGCAATAAGAAAATGAACTACTGATGTAAAAATGAGCAAACTATCTGAGCAGACACCTTGTCAGAGATGAGATGGCAAATATATACAGATGGCAAATAAGCATATGAAAAGATGTTCCACATCATCTGTCATTAGGGAAATGCAAATGAAAATGACGAGATACCACTACACACCTATCAGAATGGCCAGGTCTGCTGACATCATCAAATACTCTTGAGGATGTGGGGCAATGAGGGTTCTCTTTTATTGCTGGTGGGGACGCAAAATGACATAGCCACCTTGGAAGAAGTTGGGTGGTTTCTTGGGCTTCCCTGATAGCTCAGTTGGTAAAGAATCCACCTGCAATGCAGGAAACCCCAGTTCAATTCCTGGGTCAGAACGATCCTCTAGAGAAGGGTTAGGCTACCCACTCCAGTATCATTGGGCTTCCCTTGTGGCTCAGCTGGTAAAGAATCTGCCCATGATGTGGGAGACCTGGGTTTGATCCCTGGGTTGGGAAGATCCCCTGAAGAAGGGAAAGGCTACCCGGTAACTCCAGTATTCTGGCCTGGAGAATTCCGTGAACCATATAGTCGCAAATAGTTGGACACGACTGAGCGATTTTCACTGGTGGTTTCTTACAAAACTAGACATACTCTTAGCACGTGTGTGTGCTTAGACACTCAGTTATGTCCGACTCTCTGCGACCCCGTAGACTGCAGCCCGCCAGGCTCTTCTGTCCATGGGATTCCCCAGGCAAGAACACTGGAGTGGGAAGCCATGCCCTCCTCCAGGGGATCTTCCCGACCCAGGAATGGAACCCATGTCTCCTATGTCTCCTGCATTGGAAGGCGGATTCTTTACCACTAGTGCCAGCTGAGGAGCCAGTAATTGTGCTCCTCGGTCTTTACCAAAAGGAGCTGAAAATTCACGTTCCTGAAACTAACTGCAGAGGAATATTTATAGCAGCTTTACTCTTAATTCTCAAACCTTGGGAAGCAACCAAGATGTTCTTCAGTAGGTGAATGGATAAATAAACTGTAGCATATCTAGACAATGGGATATTTTTCAGTGTTAGAATAGAATGAACTGTCAAGCAATGAGAAGAAGTGGACAGACCTTAAGTGCTTATTACTATTAATAAGTGGAAGAAGCCAATCTGAAAAAGCTACATATTGTGCAATTCCAACTGTTTGATGTTCTGAAAAAGGAAAAACCTTGGAGACAGTAAGAGGATCAGTGACTGGGGATGCGGGGGTGGGGGTAGGCGGAAGGGCTGAATCTACAGAGCACAGAGGATCTTTAGGGTAGTGAAAATACTTTATATTACACTATAATGGTGGATACATGTCATAATACATTTGTCAAAATGCAGAGCCTGTACAAACCCAAGAGCAAACCCTGAGGTGAACTGTGGACTTCGGGTGATAGTGATGTGTCAATATAAGTTTATCAGTTGTAACAAGTGTACCGCTCTGGTGGGGGATGTTAACAGAGGGGGAAGATAGGGGCAGGCAGGGGACACATGGGAAATTTCTGTAACTTCTACTTCATTTTGCTGCTAAAAAATAAAATCTATTTGATGACATATGACAGTGACACATAGTTAAGTATTCAGTAAGTGATCAGTAGTAATCATTATTATGATTCTTCTCATTATTTCACCTGTCCATTCCAGCACTGGTGTGTCATGATCCTATGACAGTAAATAGGTGAGAACAGTAAGAAAACACATGTAAAAATGTGTCCGGTTCCTATTTCAAATCCCAGGTTTAAATCCCCAAAGAGTAAACTGAGAGAGAAGGGGACGCTGGAAAACATAGATATCATTTATTGAGTACCCACCAGGGAATTCCCCTGGTGGCTCAGATGGTAAAGAATCTGCCTGCAATGTGGGAGACCTGGGTTTGGTCCGTGGGTCGGGAAGATCCCCTGGAGGAAGGAATGGCTTCCCACTCCAGTATTCTTGCCTGGAGAATTCCGTGGACAGAGGAGCCTGGTGGGCTACAGTCCACGGGGTCACAAAGAGTCGGACACAGCTGAGCAACCAACTACCAACACTGAGTAACTGCCATGTGCCAACAGCTTTATTTATTTACTCATATCACCCTCACAACATCCAATGACATAGCTCTCAGAGGCAATCGAATCTCTTTGCAATTGATTTGAGTTCTACTGGCCCTGCCATTTACAAGCTGTGTGACTTTGGGCAAAGTACTTCACCTCTCTGTGCCTCAATTTTCTCTCTCTCTCTCTCTCTTTTTTTTTTTTTGACTGCAACAAACAGCTTGTTGGATCTTGGTTCCCTGACCAGACCGGAGGTCATCAAACTGAGCCAGGACCCTGGCAGTGAAAGCACTGAGTCTTAACCACTGGCCCGCCAGGGAATTCCCAGTTTTCTCATTTGTTTTAAATAGAAATGAATGCCTTTCATACCAGTCTCATAGAGATGTTTTGTAGATGAAATCGAGGACATAGACAGGGAGAGGCATGTAGCAAACATTCTGTGTTTACTGATACCGTTTTAGGGATGTAGCAACTGAAGCCCAGAGAGGTTAGGTCACTTGCTCACCGTCACACAGCTGGAAAGTAACAGAACTGGAATTTCAACTCAGGTATTCTCTGATGACAGGCAAACAACTGTGTAGACAATTACAAAGGTATGTACCTTTGTAATATCTCCTATAATATCTCCTGTTACAGAGGTACTCCTTTGATAGCTAGGAGATAGCTTGTAATCTGTGGCCGCCCAGAGGAGGCCTTTAGGTAGGTCTGGGACAGGTCTGGAAAGCTTCCAGGAGGAGATGGTGCCTGGCTTGTGGCTTAACGGATGGGCCGAGGTTTGCCAGGTGAGCAGGTGAAGTGGGGCTGGTTCCCAGAGACCCCTATCCCCACCCCAGCTTCCCTGCCACCCTCTCTCACATCTTTACAGAACTCCGCAGGGCCTGACCCTTCAGTCCTACACCTGAAGGAACTGAGGCCCAGAGGCCAGTGATAAGTGTTGAGGCAGTCCAAGTGCAAGCTGGAAAAGAATTTCCAGACAGAGAGCATTTCAGAAGGGAGTGAGTTTATGAAGAGCCAAGAGCAGAGAGATAAAGTGGGCAGTGCCAGCACAGTGGGCCAATAACACCTGACAGACCAGGGGGAGTCAACAGTTTTCATGGGTTCATAGCCAGTTTTTAGAGCCTGAAGACAAAGAGAATTCCTGCTGGACGGTTGGCATTAGGTGATCGGGGCATGATAGGGTGTCTCCTGGAGTGGGCATCGCTGCCTGACTGGGAGTCAGGAAGCTTGTGAGTGATGACCAGTGGTTACAAAGAGGCTCCGTCAGCTTCAGAGGTGACCTTGGTTCTGGGCTCCGCTTCTGTGGCCTTAGTGCGAGGCCTCGCACCTGCGGCCTTGGGGCAGGCCTCAATGGTGATAAGCAAGGGCCCACCTCTCCTGGGAGACTGCGGCCAGAACTTTGAACTCCAGCAATTCTGGGGCCTTTTCTTCTCAGGATCTTTAGGAGTTTTTCTGGAAGATAACAGTTTCTGAATAAAGTTGTCTGAAGCAGGGGAGGGGAAGCAGTACCGCTCAGAAAACCACAAAGCCGCCCCTTTCTAGGACCCTGTGTCCACAGCTATTCAAAACGGAGGGCCGGTCAAGACGACCTCAGAGACCCTGGCCCACCCCTGGATCCTGAGGCCATTGGCAGGGCCTCAGCCCCTCTTAAGGAGACCCCCTGCCCACCCCCCCCTCCACCAGCCCCAGCTCTCAGGCTCTGCCCCTCCAAATGCCACCCCCAGACTTCAGAGGGGGCAGGGCATGCCAGTGAGTGAGGCCCACACGGAACAGCCGGCTGGCGAGCAGAGGCCTGGCGGCCCCGGGGGCCAAAGTCTGACAGGATCCAACCTGGCGGCTGACAGGATTTTTAGGCCTCTGTGTGCCTGCCGCTGGGCTGGAAGCAGATTAGAGAAACACAGAAATGGAATGACCTCCGCATGGCCCTCACAATGCCACCAAAGGGAAGGAAAGGCTTTGAGAGAAAGCTAAACAGCCTTTGCTTTTTTTTTTCCCCCTCTTCCCTCCCTCTTCTCTCAGCCCTGGGAGCAAGGTCAGGACCCAGAGTGGGTTTGAGGGGGGAGCCCCTCACTCCTGCGGATACCTCATTTGGGACCAGGAATCTCCTCCCACCTGCCCTCAAAACCCATGAACCTGCCTTCACCCGCTTTGCGTAGGGCCCAGGGAGGATCTTCCGTGTGCCTCGCAGGAGCCATCTGTGACCGGGCCACACGGTCCCCATCTCCCCCCTCACTCAGCACCGTTATTTATTTCACAAACACACACCTCCCGGGCTTTCCTCTCAGCACTTCCCAGTACCCACTCATTTAAGCCTCATACACCCTCACTTTGACAGCCCAGCTAGCCGAGATCACAGAGAGAGATGGATTAACCTCCAGCGTCCTCGGGACTCACCCCCGGGCAGTCTGGGTGCAGAGAAACCCCGCCCCCGTGACATTCCACTGTCTGCGGCTTCTCCAAAGTCTGACTCCCTCCAGGCTCCCGGACACCAGGCTTCTGAAGTTGTCCCCCAAATCCCCCAGCTGCCCCCCCCCGCCACGACCTCTAATGTCACCCACTCGCCGCGGGAGGCTGTGGTCCCAGAGTCATTATTCACAGATGAACTGCTCGTCCACCCCATCCATCAGCTGCCTCTGACCTGCTGCGTCTGGCTGCCCGGCTGATTGTTCTAGAACCTCCCCCCTCACCCCACTGCTCCTCACCTGATTCCTCTGAGTAAGCAGAGTCCAGCCTGGGGCCCTCACACAGTCTTGTGAAAGACTGAGGGAGTGAAAGGAAAGCTGAAACCAGTCAGCCCACACCTGCCCTGGCCGGTTCTTGTCCTGGAGAGCCCTGCCCTGGGGGCTCCTGTTGGCTGCTTCTTTCCTGAGCCCTTGGACTCTGATTTTAGTGAGACCAGGCCATCACAACCCCTTGTTCTCTTCCTAGAGTGGAGGAACTTCTCACTTCCCAGGCCAGGCCCCAGCCAGAGCGGCAAACCAAGAAAAACCCCACAGTCTATCACAGTTGCCACCTCCTTGCACTGGCAGAACGCTGGGGCCAGGATTCCTTCCTTCTACTGGAGGGCTCTCACAAATTTGGGCTTCTCTGGTGTCTCAGAGGGTAAAGAATCCGCCTTCCAATGCAGGAGACCCGACTTCAATCCCTGGGTTGGGAAGATCCCCTGGAGAAGGGAATGGCAACCCACCCCAGTATTCTTGCCTGGAGAATCCCATGGACAGACGAGTCTGACAGGCTACAGTACAAGGTCTCAAAGAGTCAGACACAATTGAGCTACTAACCACTCAGAAATTTATTTAATATCCAATAACTAGATCATGAGATCCTCAATGCTGGGAAAACCTTCTAAGGTCTTAGAGTGGGTTTTTGTTAATTTCCTCTGAACATTTGCATCTTGGTCTGGAATGTCTTATCCATTTTATCTTGGTGACTGAATAGGAAGTTGCACTTTAGCATCCTGTTACACGCACGCGCGAGCGCACACACACACACACACACACACACACAATTACATGTGCAAAGAGGTAAGAACAGTTTATACTGCTGAATTTTTGCAGGAAGAGCAGTGTCTGTATCTGGACAGGGGGGCGAACAGGAGCACTGGCTTGGGGGTGGATGGTGCGGGCTCTGTGCTCGCTGATTCTGGCGCCCCCCGCCCCTTTCCCATGCCACCACCGGCCCATCCTCCACCCCTAGCTCCCAGGTCAAGGTGAGAGGGAGGCTTTGACTAATGAAGAAACAGTCTGAAAAGCAGAGGCAGGGGAGGGGCAACAGAAACAAGGGGGAGAGTGCAGCGCAGAAAACATGGAAGGTAGCCTCCTACCTAGAACTCTCTCCCTGAAGCCAAAAGTGAAAGAAAGTGGAAGTCTGACTCTTTGTGGCCCCACGGACCGTGGCCTGCCAGGCTCCTCTGTCCATGGGATTCTCCAGGCAAGAATACTGCAGTGGGCAGTGTTCCCTTCTCCAGGGGATCTTATCTACCCAGGGATTGAACCTGGGTCTTCTGATTGCAGGCAGATTCTTTATCATCTGAGCCACCAGGGAAGCCCTAATGCCAAAGCCTGACAAAATTCCTCTAAAACTCACAAGCAGGATCCAGGCCCTCTGCTCTGAGCAGACGCTGAAAAACTCCTTCTCATCTGTCCTTTGGGGCCAGGAGCTCTGTCTGCAAAGGCAGGGACCACTGGGTCTCTCTTGGTCACCACTAGATCCCCCAGAGTGAGCGACCAATAAATGTCAGATGACTGACTCAGGCTAGAGCCTGAACCAGGCTTTGGGGGCTGAGATGATGACCGATGTGCCCAGGGCTCCTTTATGGTTCTGTTCCCTCCCCTTCTTCGTCCTCCTATGGTCATACAAATTACATCTTCATGTGTTATAAGCTTATCCACTTTTTGTTTAAAAATTAAACAAAAGAAAAAAGAGCTATAAACCAAAAAATGTATTTATGCTATCTTCTAGAATTACCTATGTAGATGCCTTTATGCTGGTGCTCTTTATTTCTTCCTCTGGATTTGAGTTACTACTGAGTGTCCTTTCATTTCAGCTGTCATACATTTCATTTATGTAAGCATTAAGCAATCACTTTCTATTATCCCCTCCTCTCTGAATCTAGAAACCACTAATCTGCTTTCCACTCTATGAATTTACCACTCTAGGTACCTCATATAATTGGAATCATATAATATTTGTTCTTTTTTTATCTGGCTCATTTCACTTCAGCATGATTGCAAGGTTCATCTGTGTAGTAGCAAATGTTGGTATTTCGGACATTTTCATCAGCTCAGTTCAGTCGCTCAGTCATGTCTGACTCTTTGTGACCCCATGGACTACAACACACCAGGCTTCCCTGCCCATCACCAACCCCCGGAGCTTGCTCAAACTCATGTCCATCGAGTCGCTGATGCCATCCAACCATCTCATCCTCTATCATCCGCTTCTCCTCCTGCTTTCAATTTTGCCCAGCATCAGGGCCTTTTCCAATGAGTCATTTCTTCATATCAGGTAGACACAGTATTGGAGCTTCAGCTTCAGCTTCAGTCCTTCCAATGAATATTCAGGACTGATTTCCTTTAGGATTGACTGATTTGATCTCCTTGCAGTCCAAGAGACTCTCAAGAGTCTTCTCCAACACCACAGTTCAAAAACATCCATTCTTCAGAGCTCAGCTTTCTTTATGATCCAACTTTCACATCCATATATGACTCCTGGAAAAACCATAGCTTTGACTAGATGGACCTTTGTCGGCACAGTAGTGTCTCTGCTTTTTAATAGTCTGTCTAGGTTTGTCACAGCTTTTCTTCCAAAGAGCAAGCATCTTTTTATTTCATGGCTTCAGTCACCATCTACAGTGATTTTGGAGCCCCCCAAAATAAAGTCTGTTACTGTTTCCATTGTTTCCCCATCTATTTGCCATAGAGTGATAGGACCGGATGCCATGATCTTAGTTTTTTGAAAGTTGAGTTTTAAACCAGCTTTTTCACTATCCTTTTTCAGGCTCTTTAGTTCCTCTTCACTTTCTGCCATAAGGGTGGTGTCATCTGCATATCTAAGGTTATTGCTATTTCTCCCAGCAATCTTGATTCCAGCCTGTGCTTCATCCAGCTTGGCATTTTGATTGATATACTCTGCACCTAAGTTAAATAAGCAAGGTGGCAATATACAGCCTTGACATCTCCTTTCCCAACTTGGAGCCTTTCCCAATTTCCCTCCTTTCCCAGTCTGTTTTTCCATGTCCAGTTCTAACTGTTGTTTCTTGACCTGCATACAGATTTCTCAGGAGGCAGGTAAGGTGGTCTGGTATTCCCATCTTTTAAATAATTTTTCACAGTTTGTTGTGATCCAGACAGTCAAAGGTTTGGTGTAGTCAATAAAGCAGAAGTAGATGTTTTTCTGGAACTCTCTTGCTTCTTCAGTGATCCAGTGGATGTTGGCAATTTGATCTCTGGTTCCTCTGCCTTTTCTAAATCCAGCTTGAACATCTGGAAGTTCTTGGTTCATGTACTGCTGAAGCCTGGCCTGGAGAATTTTGAGCATTACTTTGCTAGCATGAGAGAGGAGTGTGATTGGAATGCCTTTTTTCAGGATGTCTGGCTCTAGGTGTGTGACCTTTTCATGGCTAAATAATTTTCCATGGTATGTATAATATCACATTTTGTTTATTGATGGACATTTGGGTTGTACCCATCTTTGGATTATTCTGAATAATGCTGCAAGGACCACTGGCATAAGTTTGCTATACACCTGAAAGTAGCACAACATTGTAAATCAACTATAGTAAAATAAAAGTGATCAAAAAATAAAGTCTTTGTCTAGTAAATCCACCATCTAGCCTTCCTCAAAGGTAGTTTCAGTTGGTTTCTTTTCCCCCCATGTATGGGTCACACTTTCCTGTTTCTTCGTGTCTTGCAAATTTGCTGAAATGCTTGCATTTTAAATAGTAAGTGCAGCAATTCTAAAATTAGACACCCCCCGCTCCCAGGCTGTGTTGTTATTGTCACACATCATTGCTGTTGCTGCTGCTGTTTGTTTGTTTGGTGAAGTCCCCGAGTGAATTCTGTAAAATCTGAATTCTTTGTTATGTGTGGTCACTAAAATCTCTGTCTGGTTAGCATAATGGTCTGATAATGATGGAACAGAGATTTCTGTAAATGCCTTGCACCAGTACATCTCCTAGCCTAGAGGAGAGAGAGATGTTTCCATGTTTGAGACATGTTTCCAGTGCTCCATCAGACAGTTTACAATCTTCACTTTCTGCTTCTGCAGAGCCTCAAGGTCAGCCAGAGGTGAACCACTAGGGCCATCTCAGGTATTTCCTGGACAGGTGCCCAGCCCTGCCCATGAGCATGGCCTTCTAGACCTCCAATAACATATTGGTGCTTTTCAAAGCCCTCCATGGATGTATCATTCCCCAGCTTTCTTTTTACATATTTTTGTGCAGCTTCTTGTGTATTCCATCTGTTATCAGTGCTTCAGGCAGATTTTATGTTAAATTATTGCTGCTGACCTTTTTTCTCTGTTTTTTTTTTTTTTTTTTTGACGAAAGTCCCCTAAGGAAAAGGCTATTCACGCTGACAGAGCTGAGTCAGGTCAAATAAAGACCAGCTCTGGGAGCGGGGATTTCCAGGTAACCTCCAGCAGGTCAAATAATGACATTTTAGGGAGCACCAAGCCCTCCTTCCCCCTCCAGACGCTGCTAAATTGCTGTTTTTCCTGGCTGTTATGATTGTGAAACTGTTGGTTTTCAAGGCTACTGCAGATCTGGGAAGAGAAGAATGGACTCGGATAATGGCCACAAAAGTTCACGGCTCTTACTGAGACTCAGTTTGTTTTTCTTAAAATAAATGTTCCTGGGAATGTTGTAAGACTTTGGTTAATTTCCAGAACACTTAAAAAGTTGGTTTTGACTACTTTTGCCAACATCCTCATTGTCCTTATGGAGGGCTGGATTTTCAGAGGCCCTTACTCCATTCTTCTGGA